GGAAAAGGCACATGCTGGACAGTCATGCTTTTTAAAAAAATGCTCTAATCTAGTTGCCTGCAAAATTGAGTTACCTCAGACAATACTCAAAAAGGAAGAGGACACATAGCTAGATATAGAATTTGATAGTCATTCTTGGAATAGATACTTCAAAACAGCATTTCTTTGGATAATCCTAAGCTTCACTGTGCCACATAATCAGTATTCTCTTGCCTTCATCCAATATTTAAATTTTTATTTTCAATATTTTAGATAGCCAAGCAAAAACTCGAGTTCTTAACTATAACCAGGCAAAGTTACAAATAGGATATCTGTACAAACTTGACCGCTACAGTCTCAGTATTACCAAAATTATACTTATTTATTTATTCTGTCAATTCAAAGTTTGAAACTACAGTTATATAACTTTTTAAAGTACCATTTTTGAGTATGAAAGCAAGTCATAATTTGTCCTAGGAGTCAACTTCGCCATTGGAAAAAGGCAAATGTCACCAATATAGTGACTGAACAAATATGTCCTTGATGATTTCAGAGAAAAACCCACTCATATTTCCTTTAATTCTACATTTGAAAGAATATATACACATATAATCTTTCTCATTTCTTTTCTGACTCCTGTAGGGTTATCAGAAGTGAGGAAGGTGTGTGTATGGTAAATACATATACACACCTTCATCACTTTTGGTAACACTGGAAGAGTCAGAAAACATAACATATTGGCATAAATACATAGAAACAAGTTCATAGAGGTGTAAGATCATAGGATACACTGAAATAAAAGACTTCACATCTTGAAACAAAATCTCTCCACTTGTTAAGTTTGAGAATTCTATGCCTAAGTAACTCACCAAACAAAACAAAACAAACCAAAACCCCAACAACCAAACCAAACCAAAACCCCACGAATGACAGAATATGAGAGTCATGTCTGTCAGATGATATCTAAAGGTTTATGATTCATACAAAAGGAAAACATGCCAGATTAATGACATCTGGCTACAGATGAAAAATCAGATTAACCCACTTTAAATGTGAAAGTTACTTTTATGTGTTATCAGTCCTCAAAATATCTCCAAACAGTATCAGAAAAGAATCAATAAATGTTTAAGATCAGCCTAGTGACACTCCGTAAAAATGCTACTACACAGAGCTGTTAGCTCAACACATTGGCAAATGTTACCACCCCCCTCCCCACCCTAGCCCTGACCAAACCCTATCCCAGATGAACAAAAACACAAATATTAAAATTCTAGCTGGTTTCTTTTGAAAGTTGGACCCAAAGGTCAAACTTCTTGAGTTACAATAATATAAAAATAATCACTCTTGGCAAGATCATGTGGTCTTCTGAAAAGAACTCCAGTTTCGCATTTCTTAGACAATGGTCCCTCATCCAGACCATTTATCTGGTATCCTAGCATACTATCATCCTGCCCCTCACCAAGGAAACCCTTTGACAGCCTTTCCTGTACCACTGCAGCTGGCCTTTCATTTTCCTGGATATTGTCTTATCTGTAGCTGAAGCTGAATTTTCTACAGTCAGTCAAGTATATTCCATTTGAGAATATAGAAATGAAGAGGAGGCAGAAGATACAATAGTATGTATGTATAGATAGCTAGGCAAACTAGGCCAGGTAATGAAAAGGCTGGAGATGTTAATTCCATAGAGATAGGGATGAGCTGTCTTCACATACCTGTCAAACAAAGTTGTCCATCCTTGCTAATAACATCATCCCTGGACTATTTCCTTAGAAAAGAAAAAGATTACTTACATTTTAATCAAGAACATTTATTTCAATAGAAGTATATACTAAAAAAAATATTCTGAATTTCGCCTTAAAGAAAAACAACAAAAGAAATCCAGGGTCTCCAATAAAAATGTTATCAACTACCACTGAAGATGAGCTGCCCTTTTTCCAAAAGGCAAAGATTAAAAACCCAAATGTTTTAAATAAAGGAAGATATGGATATTTAATATCAGCTAAAATGATAGCACCCATCATTAGACTTGATTTCCGTTCCACTGATTTTCTTTAGGAGGGAAAAAAGATAACCTGGTTTCAAACACCAAGTCTTGATTCTTGTTCACCTCCTCATTCTCTAGTGCAGTTAACCGTCTCTGTTTAAATAAATATAGCAGCTACAGTATCACAAATGTTTGGCCCAAAATGCCTGAAACTTAATATTGGAACGCAAAAATGTGCACTGACATATTTGCATTCAATTCCCAACTTCTCTTCACATGAAAACCAATTATTCCTGCTGGCAAGGCTAACGTTTGAAAAAAAAAATAAAAGGAAAAATTAAAGCAGCAAATTTAAAAGCACATAACAGAAAGTAAGGGCAGGAGGGGAGATGCAGTGTGTCAGGAACATTTCTTTTTAAAAATAATCAAAAAGGTTAAATATTCTGCACCAAGATGCAATAATAAATGCTTAACCCAGTTTCAAAAAAATTTGCCATTTGACCCAGCATCTTAAAACTCTAATGTTCACTGTAATGAAATTTCCAGTAATAATTTTTAGTATGTAAAATAGAAACTTTTCACTCAAACTAAGTCTTTGAACTAGCACTGTTATGAAGAATCAGAGCACCCTCAAAAGGAATTACTCAGAAAGTAAACGTTTATATTTTTTTTTAAAAAGTGCTTCCAATAGATATAAAACAAGGGCCTCCTTAAGCAGGTCTTCTGTAAGATGCTGAGAAATATCTTCCCTGTAAATGAGAGATGTTTATCATGCTTACTTAAGAACTTAGAGTTCTTCCCACTGGACTCATAAACAAAAGGAAATATACAGCAGCCACAGAGAGATCTGGCCCTTTATCATTTAGAGGTCTGTTGTGTTTCCTTCTCTTGCCCACCTACACAACCATGTCCAGTGCAAGTTTAATTATTAAAAATTCATGTCTTTGCAGTATACATTTTCCCCTCTGGGAAAACTGTGAGAAAATAGATGTATACAGCATATACACTGCAATATAAAGCTGTTGGTGACAAGTGTTGTGAATGGGACTACATACATTTCAATACAACATAGAAATGATGCACCAAATACAGTACTTTCTCAGTTTTCTGGCATAAAAAGAGGGACCAAAGAATTTATGCCTTTTGGAGCAAATGGGCTCAGATTTTAGGCTCAAAATACAGTAAATTGGCAATAAGTGGGTTATGTATAAGAAACAAACTAAAGAACTAAACCTACTGGTTTTCATGTGAAGAACAGGTGGGATTCTAAAGGGCTGGGATAACAGCAATGCCCATTACCAACTACCAGCAGTATCTATACTCTGAACCAGTGCAAACAAAACAGTTAAAAATGCTTCTTAAGAATTACAAAGTGCAAAGCTCCCCTGATTCCCTATTATTGAATGCTCAGTTCTGACAGCTTTATAGTCCTTTCTTCATTTTAAAGTGGAATGAAGGTATTAAGAGTTTTGTGAAATTTCACATCTCAGTGATTTAACTTAAATTATATCCCAGCCCTTAGCATGTATTTATAAAGTGAAATGAAAAATTTAAGTCACCAACACCCTAATTTTAAAAGGGAATTTGTAACAATGATTAAGCAAAAAAGTGCCTATGGTTTATTAGTTCACTAGGAAGTTTTCCTGATTCACTTCAGTGAAATGAAAATGGGCATCAGGAAATGTGATTCCTGAAAACTAAACCTAACTAACCCCAAACATTCAGTCATTTTGAAGGCATTTCAGTGTGTTCTGAAACTTGAACTGTGCACTGGCCTTTATTAAAAATCAAAGCTCTAGTTCATTCCTAATAGAGAAGCATACATCTCAATGCAGGTGGTTCCACTGCCCTTCCACCATCACTGTGAAGTTACCCAGAAAGTCCCCTGTGTGCCCACAGATGACAGCACTTTCTTTCTGAGATTAAGGCTTTTTTTTTGGTATTACTTTGCCCTTTTAAAAGTGTGGAGGTGCCGCTCTAGCCCAGTGAGTGGTACAAAGGCTGCTACAATACATCCAAGCAGACACAACTTTCCTTTAGAACAGCTTATTGCACTACAAGATAGCAAAACCAAGGCGTCAGTTCTTAAAATAAACATGATTACATTTCTGAAAAGGATGTGGCCAATGTGATCTACAATTTTTAAATTAAAGCATTATTATTCTAATAAATACCAAAGAAAGAAAGCTAAACTTCAAGACACATACATATGTTTATATATACACACACATAAACTATGTGTGTGTGTGTGTGTGTGTGTGTGTGTGTGTATACACACACACACACACACACATATATATACATATATATCTATATCTATATATGTATATATGAAAGTCACATTAAGGTAGGAAAGGCAGCAAGTAAATTAGCAAAAAATCCATCTTCCATCCTCATACTTCAGAGAGACCTCCAATTCTGGATTTATGATTACTTCAAATATGTACCCCCTTAGGAATACTTTCTGGGGTGGTCATCTGTATTCAATTTGTAAAATGCAAGAGGCTTCAAAATCCATATTGCTTAGCAGAGAAAAACAGTAAAAACTTCTAACAAGGTAAAACAACAGCTAAAAATAATTTAGGTTATTACTACTATTACTGCTTATGCGCACCTCTTGCAAATCGGCAAACACAAAACCCACATTTGCATATATATCCGCACATGTGTCAATATATAAGTATTTTCCCCTCATGAAAATGATTTCTAGAGCCAAGAATTCAGAGCTGTATTAAGACACAGAGACAGCAACTAGCTAAACTAATTGTGAGGGTGTGCAAAAATAAAAATCTAGTCAGCCAATGCTGCATATTCAAATGTACCAGAGAAAAGAATTTACAAATGTCACTGGTAGCATTAGAAAAAAAAGGGACTGAGGTTGATGAGGTGGAGAGAAGGAAAAAGAAAGAGGGACGTGATGAACAAGAGGGAAAGAGAATGCTCTCCAATGGAGTAGGGTATAAAAATATATACATAGCCATATATCTATTATCTATGCAGCTATATATATGTATACATACACACACACACACACACACACACACACACACATGCAAAGTATGCATGTGCATATTTAAAAATACACACATGGACACTTTTTACATGTATACACACTAACTTTTTGCACATTTCTTCTGAACAATCGTTTTGATTATTCCTGTGGGTGTATATCTGTTAAACCATAATTTCTTTTCTTTTTTGCAAAGATAGTTGTGCTGCCAAGCAACTTGAGGTAAAGGCATTAGAAGGGTTTAACTACAAGGAAAAAAAATGGATTGCGATACTTCCTATGGGAGACCGCACAAAAAGCAGTTGGCTGGTTTCATATTGCATAATAGTGCTGTGTTCCTCGATGAAGTAAACAATGTTCCGTGCGTCAATTTCAGGATCAGCCCCTGGCCCTCCACAGGACTGGCCTCCCTATGGCTGGAGGCATGCATGCCCATTCAACTGACCCCACTGGAAACATACATTGTATGTGAATTCATTTTCAGTTTTTTCCTCAGTGAGTATACTTGGACTCCTTTTTTTAAGCAAAGTACATTGTGCGTAAGGTGTCTTGGTGAATCTGTACAGCCTTGGCGAGAGCTTGTGGGTCTCTACCATTGCTCTGTCCTGAAACATGACTTCCTTCAGCACTGCAAGAGAAGTGAAAATCAATATGTAAACCCAAGGGATACTCTAGAGAAAGAAGACTCATAAACAGAGAATACCATTATTTTTCTGAGAATATATATGGATTATGGGTTCTCTAAGTAAGACCTTCAAATCCATTTATCTGAATCAGGTACAAAAGTTCTAGGCTCTATTCCCTCTTGTATAGTCAACCAGGAAGCTTTAAAAAATTTACTAGTTCACCACAACAGGAAACTGGGTGTGGAAAGGGAGAGGACAGGCTCAAAACTAAATTCAATAAACAATTATTAAGTGCCTAGTCTGTGACTGGCACAGTGCTAAACAGTCAAAAGAATGACTAACAATACCTGTGTCCTATTCCCTTTTACCTGTCATGTTCTTTGTCCACAAGATGATATCTGGCTCTGAATGCTACCAGGTGAGCATAATACGCTGGTGCAGGTATTGAAACAGATCTAGTACAACGCACATACGTATGGCAGAGTTGGTAAGTCAGCAGCTGAAGTTCATCCGCAGTAAAACAGTTATCATCCCATAAAACGTGATAGTGTGAGGGACGGCTGGTACCCTAGGCAAAAAGCAACAGCAATTCTCATGGAATAAAAAACTTTTGGAGCCACACACACACACACACACACACACACACACACACACACACACACTGCATAAGCTCAACTCCAGTTCTTTAAAAAAAAAAAAAGCTGTTTATTACATTACTAAAACCTGATTCTAGTTTCTTTTCTGGTCCAGTCACCAATCTTTCAAACCTCTTTTAAATTCATCTACTCCTTTGTGTTCCCATTCTTATTTTCCTAGCACCTGCGTTCTGCTCCAGCCTCTCTGCCTTCATTCTCTACCTCTCTCCAGGTCATCTTTTATGCTATACTTACTATCTTGTGTGATTGAGGGTGAGTCATTTACCTTGCTTGGGCCTATTTCCTTGTCTGTAAAATCAGAGGGAACCTAAAGTCCCTCTCGGTTCTAGATCTTTGATTTTATGAACAACTACTGCCAGGATAATTTTCCTTATGCACATATATGGCCATGTCATGCCTTTCAATTTAACAAACATATATGAAGCACCAACAGTGTATGAAGGCACCAAGGTTATGAAGACAAAAATGAAACAGGGCCTGCCCTAAAGAAGTTACATACACAAGTAAGTGAACACAAAGCATATATAAGAAGTAATTGTGGGACAAGAGTGTAGGAGCACTAACATCTCAGGGCCTCAGGAGGCAGCACTTCAGCTGAGCTTTGGAGGAGCTGAGGATTCTAAGAAACCAATGGGAGAAGGGAGCACATTCCAAGAACGGGAGATAGCTTCTGCAAAGGACAGAGATGGGCTGTTTGTAAGTGGAAAGGAAAGCAGGATAGTCTGGCAAGACTGTGGATCAGTTAGACATCTCTTAACCATTTACTGGCTGCTAGGTGGCATTGGATAGAAAACAAGGCCTGTGGTCAGGAAGACTCATCTTCCTGAGTTCAAATCTGGCCTTACACACTTACTAGCTGTATGACCCTGGGCAAATCACTTAACCCTGTTTGCCTCAGTTTCCTCATCTGTCAAATGATCTGGAGAAGAAAATGACAAACCACTTCAGTATCTTTGCCAAGAATACCCCAAATGGGGTCACGAAGAGTGAGACAGGACTGAATAACAATCCACATAGTATATGTGAGTTACTGCACTAGATGCTGGAAATACAAAGAACAAATAAAAACATCCTTTCTTGCAAAAAGCCTGGCACAGAACAGGCACTCAATAAACATCCACTGACTTAGTGTCAGAGGAGATTATTCATCATCCTTTGCATTATCTCTGGTACTTTTCTCCTGGAGGTGCCTTTGTTCCTTCTGTTCCCTGCTCTGTAAGCCTATGTTCCTACCCTATTTCCACCATTTCAAACTGCACCCATCTTTCAAGGCTGCACTCAACAAAGGCCACCTCTCCAGGTCTCTCCTCCATATTCCTAACATCTTTTCTTCCTGAACCATGCAAATCCTTTTGTATTACTCTTATTCTTCCAATTTTGCATTATAGTCACATGTAGTATGTTCTAGTTCTCTCTATTCATTATAAGCAGATGTGAGGGCAGGGATCATTCCTCAATTCCGTTAATATCACCTGTACTTTGCATATTGTAGACAGATTTTTAAAAAGCCTGTGGGAATGCATTCACCTGGAGTAAGATGTGAAATTATACTGAAGTATTACCTGAAAGAAAGAGATACTTGAAGTAATTTCACCTAAAGCCATAATGTAGTCTGAATAACTATATATTAAATGACCAACAAAATTTTACCTTTAAGAAGCTAACATTTAAAAAAAATGATTATTGATATTTACAAGTACATGTCAAAATGCAAAAGGCTTACCTGTATTCCAGCATGACTACAGAGGTAAAAATCAAACTCATAGGGGTGGGTAATATCTGTATCTACTGTTGTTCCAGCTGGGATGTTTCCACTTCTTCCAACCTATTTTTTTCCCATCAAAATGTAAATAAGACATAAATAACATGATTGTACATCAGACGGAAATAAATCCATGACACATGTCTGCTGCCTAGGCAGATCTGAGTTCTTCTGTCTAGGATTTGGGTCTCAGGTTTCTATAGCTACTTATCTCTGGTCCTCCCGCCAGTAAGGTGCCAGGGATCACTCCAGCCAGGATTCCTCCCTCTCAGGGTTCCTCTATGAAGCATTTAGCATGAAGCATTATTTTATTACTAATTCTGCTATTCTCCATCCCATATCTTTTTTTCTCATCACTGTATTAGATTTTAAGCACTTCAGAGTCAAAATTAGATAGATGCCATCCTTTAAACTCTAAGTGCCAGGGGTTGTGGATATTTGAGCCAACTGGCTAGGTGTCTTTTTTGCCATGTTTGTATCATAGAGATTAACATGAGCTAGCCACTGAAGCTCTTTCTTAAAAACACAAGCATAATTATTAATTTAAAATGATGGAGAGGCAGCTTGGCATTGTGAATCGAGGGATGGCTTTGGAGTCTGGAATATCTGGGTTCAAATCTAGCCCTTGACACAAATTGGCTATATGACTCTAGGACAGGGGTGGGGAACCTGCAGCCTCGAGGCCACACAGGATTTGTTCCGTGAAGGTTAGATTCAGTCAAAGGGCCGCACTTGAGGATGTAGAGGGCCACATGTGGTCTTGAGGCTGCAGGTTCCCCATCCCTGCTCTAGGAAATCACTTAACTGCTCAGTGCCCCAAGCAACTGTCTCAAACTAAGCTGCAGAGCAGCTGCCTTGGTAGCTGCACTGGCAGAAGGAATTCCCTTGCTGCTGGTTCACTACATTGATGAAATTACAGGGCTGGTGGAGGAGTAGGAAAAAGTAGTTAGAGTAAATAATATCATTTAGAGCAAAACCAAATGAAATATAAATATCTAGATATAGACTAAATGCTTTTGTGAATAAAATTCATTCCTTTTATGAGTTGTTGGTTAATTTAACTCTAACTTCATTTGTTTTGCTTTAAGGAGAAGCTTTTAGCCTTCTCTCATTTATGCTTCAGGTATTAACAGCTTTGTGGCTTCTAGACAGCTTGGTATCTAAAGTCCTTAAACTACTTATTTGCCACTTGTTAAAGGGTATTGATTTGCTGCCTTAGCAGTCTTCTTTCTAAGAGGATGACATTTGCCTTTTGTTCCCCACATCTTTCTTTGTTCCCAGTGGCTTAGTTTTCTAGCTCAGTAAACCTGCCCCTTCCTGCCATGCATACATGAGAATACCAACCTGAGCTCTGTGATGGTTTCTGTCTAATACAGCACAAGGCAACTCTTGCACCTGGGCAAATTCTCTTCCCTAATTATTTTAATTTTGAAGCTAGTTTTGATATAAAAGTTAATTTGCAGCAAATGGATTAATATTACACACGAACCAGTCTAGCGGGCTTTTAGTTTTCTTCTTTATAACCTGGCTTCTGCTAGAGAGTATAGCACACTATAGTTCTCTAAAGGCTAGGTCTTTTCTTCTGAATATTTGAACACTAACAGTTTGTAAACAGATATGCAATGTTTTCAAATTAACTTAAAAATAAAATGAATTTTTAATATTCATCCAGTCGTTAGAAACATTAGAAACTAAAAAGGGTTATTCACCTCTAACTGTCAACCCCTCTGAGCCTATTGCTTCTGTACCCACACTTTGTTCCACATACACAATCACCACTCCACAAAGGCAGAGAAGGTGATTTAAATGGAAAGGATCACCCCAAACATGTCATGAGTTGTGAAAACTATGCTGATGGTGTACAATGTGTGCCTGATTGATGACACTGTCCCAGATGCAAGATTACCCTTTCGGTTCTGTCAGCACAAAACAGCCGTGTGTGGTGGCGTTTCTGTACCACAATGTAGGTGATGCCAGGCTGGTAGTCCTTCTCTAAGCTGATGCAGGCTTCTCGAATTGCAAGCAGCTCATAATATAATACCTATATCAGAAAAAGTTTAGAAAGTCAATGGTACTTGTATATCTTTCATCAAAAAGAATGCTTTATACTAAAGGTTTCTTATTTCCTCCTCCCCTTTTTCAACTTAGTTTCTTATTCCATTTATTCACTATACCTCTTCAGACTCTGCCACCATGCTACTCTACCTTCTCCCTCTACCCCTGTGGCCTCTTTCCTCCCAGGACTTCCATTTTGAGGAAGGGTCTAGATTAGTCTCCCCACTCAGCACCCCCCCATTCCAGAATGCTCCCTTATGTATTCTTTTCTCCCCACAGTACGTAAGCTCCTTGAGGCTACTGACATTTATTTTCTCTCTCTCTCTCTCTCTCTCTCTCTCTCTCTCTCTCTCTCTCTCTTTTTGGCTTATATTTGTATTCCCAGTGCTTAGCACCATGCCTGTTACATAAATAATCACTTAAGTATTTCTTCACTGACTGCCAACTTTGTGCAGCACGGCTGAGTTAAAGGAAGACAAAAAGTTAAGAAACAATCCTTACCCTTATGAAGATTACTATCTAGTAGAGGGGTAAGACAAAAACATGTAGCTATATGTGGCATTTTATACTAAATGCATTAAAAAGGTACAAAACTGAGCATTGTGTGTGAGCTGAAAGACAGAATTGTTTCTGATGAAGTGCAGGGTGGCAGGATGATCAGGAAAGGCTTTAAGGAACAATGGCATCCCATCTGTCAAACTGTATGCTCCTCACAGCTATCAAAACCATATAAAATCTATCTACTGGTCATTCCAAAAATAAATGATACTGAAACATCAAAATTTAAAGCCACTTATGATCTCTCAACTCTACATTTTTTAGACAGCTAGAATTCATCACATAGGCACCATTTCTGGATTCATCCCTAGATCAATATCCTCTGGGCAGCTCACCTGCCGAAACTGGCCCTCAGAAACACCATCCCGATAAAAGATGATGCGAGTGGGCTTGAATCGAGTTGACTTATAGAACTGGATGAGAAGTTCCCTGACCATGGAGGCCAAATCCTGGATGATCTCCTGTCGGGGTCTTTGAACTCTTACTGTGGCACAGTATCTGCTTGGGTGGGCATCCATACTGCCTACAACCTACAAAAAAGATACATAAGAAAATGAAGAAATGACTACCAAAGTCATGTGGAATTACTACAAATTAATATCTTCCTTATACAAATTAGCATTAGATAATTTCTAATTAAGAGAATTAAGACCCAAACGTAACCTTACAAATTATAGCGCTGGAAGAGTGTATTCATTGTTTTACAAACCTCTGAGCAGCACAAGGTAACACAAAAAGCAATGGAGACTTAGAGCTGCAAGTGGGTTTTATCCTGGCTCCAACACTTATGCTTACAGACAAATCAAAACTTTTGAGACTCAAACTTTCTCATCTGAAAAATATGACTAATGTTACTACTCCAATAATGAGTATATCACAGGGTCATCCTGTGAAGGAAATGAAATACTGCATGTGAATGCACCTTGTAAACTGAAATGCAAAAGAAATATGAGCATTCTTTATTATACATAGCCTAGGATAGAACTTTGCATTTCCCCGGCCCATGCCACCAACGATGGACACTACTGACAGGCACCACTAGGAAGCCTACAGGATAAGTAAGGGAAGAATGAAGAAAGAAAAACTGAGAAACAGAGAAAGAAGAGGGGAAGAGAAAGGAAATGAGGAAAAAAAAAGATAGTTTGCCACTAATAACTGCCTCAAGGTCCATTAAAGAGTACTAGCTCCAGAAGCATCTTTCTGAAAGATTTTTTCTTTAAAATATAAATTTAATGATGTCAAAAATAAGGAATACAATGAAACACAAAACTACTAACTCCCAATGAAAAGGTTTAACAAAAGAATAATAACACTTTCATATAAAATCAGAATTTCAGAATTGGAAAAGAACCTCAAAGGCCATTTATCCAATCAGATGAATGGATATAGAACGAATAACATCTTTGCAAGTAGTCATCTAGCATTCACCTGAAGACCTTTAATAGGTGAAAACCTACCAAGGAAGCCAGCTTCACTTCTGGAAAGCTCTAATTCTGGGGAAGTTTTTTGTCACTTATTTTGCTCCTATGGACTCCTCCAATCACTTTTTATTCCATAAATTTATCAGATTGCTGCACTCCCTCCCCTAGTCATAGTAATTTTCCTGATTCTGTGTGATATGTCAGTCAAAACAATTTGAATATTTCTTTGCAAGGTAAAACTAAGTCTATATGATACATAGCAAAAAATCCAAGCATTTTGAAAAAAGCCATCTTTTTTCAAAACACTTCTTCAAAAGGAAATTTCGGATAAACGTTTTTCCCAGTTAGCAAAGGTCACTGATAAGCAGGATGATATATGGAATCATTTGAAGACTGCAGCTGTTATAACCTATTAATTGGAGAATACAATGAAAGGTTCACTAAGTTTGAGAATCATGACATCACACTCAAATGAGCATTTCAGCCTCACTAGTTTATATCACCAAGACACCTAAAGAACTACAGATGGACTATAGTCATATGAAAAAATGCTCTAAATCGTTATTGATTAGAGAAATGCAAATCAAAACAAGTCTGAGGTACCACATCACACCTATCAGATTGGCCAACATGACAAAAACAGGAAAATGATAAATGTTGGAGAGGATGTGGGAAAATTGGAACGCTAATACATTGTTGGTGGAGTTGTGAAATGATCCAACCATTTTGGAGAACAATTTGGAACTATGCCCAAAGGGCTACAAAAGTGTGCATACCCTTTGACCCAGCAATAGCACTTCTAGGGCTATATCCCAAAGAGATCAAACAAATGGGAAAAGGGCCCACATGTACAAAAATACACATAGCAGCTCTTTTTGTGGTGGCAAAGAATTGGAAATTGAGAGGATGCCCATCAATTGGGGAATGGCTGAGCAAGTTGTGGTATATATAGTAATGGAATACTATTGTGCTATAAGAAATGATGAACAGGCTGTCTTCAGAAAAACCTGGAGAGACTTACATGGTCTGATGCTGAGTGAAGTGAGCAGAACCAAGAGGACTTTGTACACAATAGCAGCCACGTTATGCAATGACTAAGAATGTTAAACTGAACCCTTCTCAGCATTACGAGGATCTCAGACATCTTCAGAGGCCTCGGGATGGAAAATGCTGTCCATATCCAAAGAAAGAACTATGGAAGTCAAATCGCTCTCACTTATTTTTACCTTCTGTTGAGTTTTGTTTCATCTTTCTGATGGTTCCTCCTATTGGTTTTAATTTTTACTTACAACTTCACTAATGTGAAAACATGTTTAATGGGTATGTAAATGTAAAGCCTATGTCAGATTGTGTGCCGTCTTGGGGAGGGTGGGGGGGAGAAAAAGGGAGAAAAATTTTCAACTCAAAAGCATATGGAAAAAAAAATTAAAAAAAAAATAAAGGAACCCATGCTCCATGCCAAAAAAAAAAAGAACTACAGATGGAACTGATTGAGCTCTCAGTAAATGACATTTTAAAGTCATTGTTTTATGCAACAAAAGATCCAATTGAAATATGGAAAAATGCAGTAAAATACCCACGCCTTTGGCAACATACTTGAAAAATGCTTTCTTGCTTTTCAGCCACTTATTGCTGTAAATCTAAATTCTCCTACCTAACCCAAATCAAGACGCTTTTAAGGTCACAAATGACTGATACCGATCAAGAGGATTAACTGAAACTGCAGACCTCCATGCTACAACCAAATATTCAAATATTCAATAAGAAGCAGACACAACAAAATCATTAAAAAGTTAGTTAACTTTAAAATTAACAAATTGTTTTCATTTTTTAAAATTACTAAGTATACAGTAGTTAGATTTTCACAAAATAATGTACATTTTTAAGTATATCTAATTGAAGTCCCTTGAATAAGGCCTCATTTGATTACAGCTAAATATTATTCGGCCTTCCACACATGAACCAGAAAAAGAAACAAGCAGGTTTTCAGTGATGATTCTCTATAAGAGAGTACATCCTGAGTCACACAACTGACAGAGGTACAGAGAATGTAACATCCTGCCATATCCACTATTTGTTGATTATGTAAAAAAAAAAAACAAAACACCAAAAAACATCAGCCACAAAACCACATTCTAATTAGGAGAACAAAATGTAATCTTTTAAGGTTTTTTTCCCCAATTTGTCTCTCACGTGTATGTTAACAACAAGAAGATTCCATGCCAAATACAGCCATCGAGGTAACTGTTCAGTGACTGCTGATTATCAACATCAAGTGAGGCATCAAACAGGGAGACATGTTCACCAGAGTCATGGAAGATACCCTGAGCAAAGTCAAACTAGAGGAGGGATTCCCTATTGAGATTCTCCAGATATTCCTGTTTACAGATGACATTATGCTGATTGTATTGAGCCTTGCCTTCTTAAAGACATCTATAGTCACTCAAGAGATCAGCCTAGCTACCCATAAATGAAATACAAAGTAGATGAAGACTGTATATTGCCTAGGTTAGATATGCAGTTGTATGAGCAACCCACTAGGGTAATCTATCAATATGCATCTCTTGGACAGGGTACTGTAGATGGATAGTGAACTGGGCCTAGAATGGAATCTTTCCTAGAATGGAAGCAGGAGGCTGGGCTGGACAACATCTGGACATAGCATTTTTAATGATCCCAATCTGCTCAATGTTTCAAAATCCTATCTTTTGAATACCAATGTTCTCCTTGTGATGCTATATAGTTGTAGATTATGGAACACCATGATCACAAGAAGAATCACAACTGCAGGTGTCCTAAAGGGCAATGGAAAGACAAATGGTGGGTACAAGCAGGTTAGAGCATATTACTTGCAGAGAAGTTAAAGACATCAAGGAATACAGGATGAGAAAAACAGATGTACTAGAGATATAGTAAGAGTGGGGGATAACAGAAGAAGAGCCAAAATGTAGAGCTGTCCATGAAATACTAAGTAAATCAGAGGAAGGCCTCTAGCATATAGAATATGTCATTTATAAAGCTAATTTACAGAAAGACACTGACATGAATTACACAGGATGAGTGGGCATAGATGGGTTGGGATTTATACTGTGAATCAAATGCCCACATGGAGGAGATCATGGATCCAATGAAGTACTGAAGTATAAAGTGCTGTTTAACAGTAAAGAGATAACTTCCTTTACTTTGTCAAACAATTTAAAAACCATTAACTGAAAATCTAAAGCTTTTATAGAGAGATAACCAGAACACAGAGTAGAAACAAACAAGGTATATGCCAGAGTACTGCAAATTAATTTCTGAAATTAAGTCCACTTGTAAATCTCATGACATTTTAAGAAAGTTGATAAGCTCATAAGCAGCAGAAAGGAATTCACCAAGCCAGTGGCATGAAATGGAGACTCACAATTTCATACACATTCCTCCTTTTGTGCTCTACTTTGTATGTGTATTTAAGTTCAGAATAAAAAAAATAAAATTTAAAAAGAAGAAACTCACAGCAGCAATCGAAGGTTTCTTCCCATCACCAGCAGGTGGATGAGTGACATCTGCTCCCAAAAAGATCACGGGTTGTTGGAACACAGAAGGTCTTTAAGATAAAAAAAAAAGCGTGTCTGTATATGTGTTCTCTCTCTCTCTCTCTCTCTCTCTCTCTTTCTCTCTCTCTCCCCACTACTACTAATGGGTTATAAGCTGCTTAGTTACAGATCTGCCCACTAAGAATGGGGAAAACTCTTATGCATAGAAAAACTACACAAGTGAAAAAAAGCCTGTGAATAGTTTGCTTGGTAAGCCTGTTCTACTGAAAACTTTTTATTTGCTTAATTCATGTTTCACTATCCCACAGCAATATTTTTAAAATGTTACATTAAGTCAAATGAATGATCCCAAGTTCATGTTCTGGCAGTGGTAATAAGGAGAAACATTATAGCTACCCTCGAAGACACTGGCAAAAGACTAGGAAACTACTCCAAATATTCCCAACTTCCCTTAAATAACTTTTTACAGATATAAGATCTACCGATTTATCTAAATATCTTTTGAATCTTTTTATATTTTTAGTATCTACTACCTTTTGTAGTACAATCCTCAACTTTTATGTAAAGAAATGCTACAAAGCATTTAATCCAACTTCCTCTCCTTACATCTGAGGAAACTGTTGCCCAAAGAGGAGTGATTTCTCTAAAGTCACTTGGCTAGTAAGTAGCCAGAACTAGGAGCCACATCTTCTGGCTTCTAGTTTATTAGTTATTCTACCCCTCCCCATCCCTGCCCCAGATTTTCTTTAGTTATTCTGAAACTAAGAACTAAGGGCTTCATTAGTTCAAATATTCTAAGAATTTGTTAAAACACATCTACATTCACCGTATCCATATCTTATGATTTTATGCACAGGCCTATTCAAGATTTAGCTCAAGTACCACATTCTACACAAAGCCTTTCCCAATCTCCTCAACTGCTACAGTCATCTTTCTTTTTTGTATTTAACTACCATGTTTTTATTCTGTTGCATATACATACACACATTTATACACATATATACACACGCATAGGCACACACACTTAGTCCGTGTCACCTCTGATAGAATGCTTTCCTTTTTTGTCTTTCTACCGCCAATACCAAGCACAGGACCTGGCACATAGCAGACATGTAAGAAATGTTTGGGGCAGCTAAGTGGCACAGTAGATAGAGTGCTGGGCCTGGAGTCAGGAAGACTCTTCCCAAGTTCAAATCCAAGAACTTACTAGGTGTGTGACCCTGTGCAAGTCATTTTATCTCAGCTTCCTCATCTGTAAAATGAACTCAAGAAAGAAATGGCAAACCACTTCAGTATCTTTCCAGGAAAACCCCAAATGGGGTCACGGAGAGTCAGATGTGACTTAAAGCAACTGAAAAATGGCAAAGAAATGCTTGTTGATAGTCCTCTGTACCTGTCCTGTGCTTCCCAGCCATGTTTTAACTCTGTTCCCTCTGCCTGGAATAGCTATTAAAATATTACTCTGTCTTTTTAATTTAAGAACCAAACTCAAATGCTACATCCCTTCCAATGAAGCCTTGCTTATACCTTACCTATGCCCTGCCTGCCAGAGTCAGGAACGATTTCAATTCAGAGACCTTACAAAGTACTTAAACAAGTTACTTATGTATACATTAAATTCCCCAGATTCTAAGCTCCATGAAGGCAGGGGTAATATCTTATTTACTGTCTATCAGGTTAATGGTAGAGATGGCAATGAATTTGGAAAATCATTTCAGAATCATGTTACCTTGACACTTCACCCCAAGATATAATCCTAAAGATATAAAGGGGAAAAAAAAAACCAATGTTTTACCTCAAAGAGAAAACAGGAGAAAATATCACTATCACATACTTTGTACTCTAAGAAAATAAAATAACCATATAAGTTTAAAACAATGACTATTTAAAAATCCCTCATATTTCTACAGCACTTTATGTTTGTATGTTTATGTTTCATCCCATGAAGTAGGTAATGCAAATATTATCCACATTTTTACAAATAAGTAATAGGAGACTAAAATGAAATGTTTAGTCCAAAGTCATACAGCTATAGTGTCCATATGAATCAAGTCTCCTGACTCCAAATTCAGATTTTCCCGCTATCCCATTCTGCCTTACTAAAAGACTGGATTTAAATTCCATACTTCTGGAATGCAGACAGTTGCGGCTGTGCCATTCTCTTCACACAGCATCTAGAACATGAATGTGTGGACCCTGTCTCTTGAAAAATGCTTTTTGAGGATGACAACTGCTTATCATTCCAAACAAATACTGTTAGTTTTCCTAATAATTTATGGCCAGATACTTGCTGAAAGAGTTCTTATTTGGTATTCAAAATAAACTAGAAGCTAAAGTTCAAAAGGATTTTGATTAAATATTACAAAGGACAAACAAATCCCTGTATTAATGGGGATACTTGCAGAATTAAATGTTCTTTATTTCTCCTAGAACTATTTTTGATAGGTTATGGCAATGCAAAACCAACTGGGGTCATTTACAGAATTATATTTATTATTAAATTTTCTTACCTTTGATGAGGTACAAGGATATTATTGATTCCTCCTAGTTTAACATTAATCTTTAGGCACAGGTTTGAGAGGGTTTGAGGAGATGTTTTTATAACATTCTTCACTTGAACACACTGAGTAGCCATCCCCAAAAGTGTGTCTCCTACTCTCTTCACTTCCGCTGAAGAGCAAATACACATATCTCATTAGGAAAAAGCAAAAGCATAACCTTGAAATCATGCTGGCTATATACTACTATCACACCACAATTTTACTTGTTTAAATTTAAAATAAAATGACAGATTGATTTTAAGGCTGTCTCTAGCACTTAGTTATATTTAAAGAAAAAAAACCTAAAGATCAGTCAGTCAATAAAACTTATTAAGAATCCACTATGTGCCAAGCACTGTGCTAAGTGCTGGGATACAAAGAAAGGCAAAAGACAGTTCCTGCTCCCAATCTAATGAGGAAGACAACATGCAAACTACTACACACAAACAAGTTATATATGGGATAAAATAGGAAATAATTAATAGAGGAAAAGCACTAGAATTAAGAGGGATTAGGAAAGGCTTCCTGGAGAAGGTAGCTTGAAGGAAGCCAGGAGGTAGAGAAGAGGATGGAGAGAATTCCATGGATGGAGGATGGACAGTGAAAACGCCCAGAGTTGGGAAATAAGAGTTATCTTGAGAGAAGAGCAGCAAGGAGGCCAGTGGCCCTGGATCACAGAGGAAACGGTACAGTATAAGGAGACTGGAAAGGTGAAGGAAAGACCAGATTAAATAACATAACTGAATTAAAACATGACACTAAATTAATTTCTTACCATACACAGGCGTCTTCCCAGGCAGGATAACAATGATGAGCTGTAGTCCCGAGTAGGTGTTCTTGAGATGCCGGAACATGGGTTCCACACTGTCTGCACCCTGTGCGTATTTGCAGAAACAAGGCTGGCCCTGGATGGGCATCCCTGCATCCTTGGAAATCTTACGGAGCTGGTCTGTGAAACCCCTTCAGAGAATAACCTTTGAATGTATTAATTCTGTCTAGGAACAACATGATATATCATGTAAAAGTGTAATGCATAAGATGAAGAATAAAGTGAATCAGACCACCATGCGTTCAATAAGAAAAATTAGAATGGGTAACCATTTGAAAATGATAACTGGCAAAAATCTTGGCTTAAAGGAATACAAGACTGTATAACAGTAAAGAAAAAAAAAGGTTTTGTATTTACATTTCATTTGCATTTTTGCATGTTAATGATTTTTCTAAGCTCAGTAAGGTAAGATGCACTTCAATCCATTTCAAAAGAATATGGGAAAGCTCAGATGGAAAACAGAATTGTGCTTAGCTTAAAATAAATGTGTATTTATTGGAGATTTAAATCAGTTGAACCAAAATAAAAAAGGTCCCCAATCAAGGACCTAGTCCCTCCTTAAACATGGGTCAATAACAATGACTACGGAACAGAAGATAGGTTTTAAAAAACAAAACACTCCAAAACCTTGTTTTAGGTTTAACAAAAAAAGTCGAACAATTGTGATAAATAGGAGGAGGGTGAACTTGAATGGTAGCTATAGAGCAAAATATGGTAAAATTTCCTTTTAAGTCAAGAGAAAGCCACTATAAAAATTCATTGAAAATACTGAGATAATATTGGAGGTCTTTTCTCTCACCAATTTTGATTGATACCAGCTATCGAAAAAATCATTTAGCAATCAATTATTTAAATCTTTAAAATTTGCTGTCAATTAAGACTGACAGATTATAACTCATTTCAAAGAGTAATCATAATCAAGCATATTCAGTATTGAGAGAACAAGACAAAACTGGTAAATAAATGTAGCTAAAGATTTTAAAATCAAATTAAGACCAAAAGGCTCTAAGAAAGTAAAATGTCTTACTTCAATATTTCTTCTCGGCACTGTCTCTGAGTAGCAAAACAAGCTATAGCCCACATTTTGATCTCAACACCTGTGTGGAACTGTTTACCTCGCATGTCCCATACTCCATGGCTTGGAGTTGCTACTGTTCGATTCTAAAAAAAGACAAGACAAGATGAATTTGTACTAAGGACAAAGGGTAGTAAGAACATCTGTAATCTATTTAAATGATGCACTACTTGATGAAAACAGAAACTTTTCACCTTATGCCAAGAAATGACTGGTTTCTCTTTTCTGACTCTAAATAGAAAGTAGAATCAAAGCAGAATGATCTAAATAAAAGCTATTATAACAATTTTACTTTAAAATGATCTACTATCACTTTAAACAAAGAGGGGCTAGGAAAAGACTTAAAATGCCAGCCCAACTCAGCTATCTTCTGTTCTACTGTTGAGAAATGAAATACGAGTGAAGAAGAAAAAAGCGAGAACTTTTACCCGTCCTCCATACTGTAGCATAGGAGCGGGGAGTACACGTCCTGTTACACGGGCCATTTCATCCCGAACTTTAAACTGAAATTCCTGAACAAATGGATCAGCATCATAATTTGCACTTCTCACCTAAAGACAGAAGAAATTTTTTTTTTGCAATTGTTAAGGAAAGATGAATTTAATCACTTAGTATTTAGAAGAAATTTTTTTTGCAATTGTTAAGGAAAGATGAATTTAATCACTTAGTATTTAGAAGAAATTTTTTTTGCAATTGTTAAGGAAAGATGAATTTAATCACTTAGTATTTAGAAGAAATTTTTTTGCAATTGTTAAGGAAAGATGAATTTAATCACTTAGTATTTAGAAACTAGTTATTTTTCAATATGTTAAGCGTGTGCTTCAAGGCTTGTTTTGCATGATAAATGTCAAGGACCTAACAATTTTCACAAAATTTTACATGGATAGTTAAGTTTATTTATTCACACACCAAATATGGCCACTAAGTTTTCATAATGCTTCTTTTCTTACTAAATTGAAGGTATCTGAAAATGGTGAACAAACAAGTGGCTCTGTATCACCAGTTCTTTAACGACTCACTGGGTTAAATTTCCTGACTCCTCCCTCTTTTTTAATTACTAAAAAAAACTTCTTGTTTTTATGGTACATAACAATACGAGCTATGGATTATATGCACAGATTTCTGCATAATGACATTTACTGATAAGACATGAAATTTTATTTCAATCACAGAAACTAAAAGATATGACAGTTATAATCTAGTGTGAAACTGGATCTTTCACACCTGTACCATACTGTAATAATTAATTGTCCTCCAAATAAGCTTCTTAACTGCTTTCACAGTAAAGAAAAAAAATAAAATTAGGAAAATCAAACTGGCTTGACAAACCTATAAAGATAAGAACTGAGAAAAGGATTACTTAATCACAGTACTTGGGAAAACTTTTTTGCTCCCCAACTTGGTTGAAAATAGATTTAAATCCTTATATTTAAAGTATATACTTGAGGGCAGCTAGGTGGCTCAGTGGATAGTCAGGAGGACCTGAGTTCAAATCCACTGGACCATGAGCAGGCACTGGGTACAGGACCTGTTGGATTGCCTAAATGTAGTTCTGGGTTGCAATTCCAGAGTGGAGTAGAGTACTGGTGCTTGGGGCTGCATGGAAACAGGGGTCCTACTGGGTAAAGACCAGAGCTCAGACCAGAAGAGCAGTGACCACACCTCTCCTTGGATCTTATCATCTTGAAAGCACCAAAAATTTCCAAACCCCCAGAACTTGCTGTGAAAATAGCAACTTGGAATAGTGCCTCCCAAACTCCAGGTGAGCAGAGCCCAACTTTAACATAAAATGAAATGTCAACAAATAGTCTGGAAAAAAAATCTGACCATAAAAATCTACAATGGCGACAAGAAAGATCAAGAACAAACTCAGAAGACAACAACATAAAAAAGCTACAAGCAAAACACAAATAAGGCACAAACCCAACAAGAATTCCTGGAAGTGCTAAAGAAAGAGAAAAGAATGGTAGAGGAAAAATTGGAAAAAGAAATGAAAATGATGCAAGAAAATTATGAAAAGAGGAATAACAACTTTGTAAAAGAGGCACAAAAATGCTTAAGAAAATAACTTAAAAAACCAGAACTGGCAAAATGACAATAGAGGGATAAAAATTCACTGAAGATCTCCTTAGAAAGAAGAATTGGCCAAATGGAAAAAAGAGATACAAAGCTTCACTGAAGAAAATCATTCCTTCAAAATCAGAATGGGGAAAGTGGAAGTTAATGACTCCATGAAACATCAAGAAACAAAGCCAAAAGAATGAAAAAATATAAGAAAATATGAAATATCTCACTGGAAAAACAAGTGAATTGGAAAATAAACTGAGAAATAATTTAAGAATTATCGGATTATATGAAATCCATGATAAAAAAAGAGCCTAGATATCATATTTTAATAAATTATCAAGTAAAACTTTCCCAATATCTTAGAACCAGAAGGGAAAATAGAAGATGAAAGAATCCACTGATCACTTCCTGAAAGAGATCCCAAAACACAAACTCCTAGGAAATTATAGCCAAATTCCAGAGCTATCAAGGTCAAGGAGAAAAAATTGCAAAAGCAGTCAGAAAGAAACCATTCAGATACCACAAAGCTGGTCAGGATGATACAAGATTTAGCAGCTTCCACATTAAAGTGGAGGGCTTGGAATATGATATTCTGAAAGGCAAAGGAACTAGGATTACACCTAATAATAACCTACCCAGAAAAAAAAATGAGTATAATCCTTCAGGGGATAAAATGGACATTTAATGAAAGAGAGGACTCTCAAGCAATCCTGATGAAAAGACCAGAGTTGAATAGAAAAATCTGATATTCAAACACAAGACTTAAGAGTAGCATAAAAAGACAAATATTAAAGAGAAATCATAAGGGACTTAATCAGGTTAAACTGTTTACGTGCCTATGTGGCAAGATGCGATACAAGTAATTCCCAATTATTAGTGTAGTTGGAAGGAGTCTACATAAATGGAGAGCACGGGTGTGAGTCAAATTATATTGGGATTATTTCTCCAAAAAATAAAAGGATAAGAAAAAGGCATACACTCATGGAAGGGGAAGAATGGGGAAAATAATCTCACATAAAATAGGTGCTCAAGGAAGAGCTTTTACAGTGGAGGGGAAAATAGGGCGGGGCACGGTTGGCAACACTTGAACTTCAGTATAAATCTGAATTGGTTCAAAGAGGGAAGAAACTGTCCCCCCCCCCAATTATGTATGAAATCTGTCTTACCCAGCAGGGAAGCAGAGCAGAAGGGGATAAGAAAAGGGCTGGAAGGCAGATAAAGGGAGAGAGTTGTCAGAAGCAAAACAGACTTTTGAGCAGGGCCAGAGTAAAATGAAAGAGAAAAGCATAAATAGAAAAAAATAGGATAGAAGGAAATACACAGTTAAGTAATGTTAACTGTGAATGTGAACAGGATGAATTCACCCATAAAACAGAGGTAGATAGCAGAATGGATTAGAAACCAGAACCCAATAATATGTTGTTTACAAGAAACACACTTAAAACAGAAAGACACACACAGGATTAAAAGAAAAGGCTGGAGGAGAATCTATTCTGCTTCAGTTAAAGTTAAAGAAAAAAAAGGCAGGGGTATTAACCATGATTTCAGTTAAAGCAAAAGCAAAAATAGACCTAATTAAAAGAGATAATCAAGGAAACTACATTTTGCTGAAAGGTATGTAAACAATGAAGTAAGGGCAGCTAGGTGGCACAGTGGACAGAGCACCAGCCCTGGAGTCAGGAGGACCTGAGTTCAAATCCAGCCTCAGACACTTACAACCTAGCTGTGTCACCCTGGGCAAGTCACTTAACCCCTATTGCCTCCAAAATTAAAACAAAACAAAACAACAATGAAGTAACATCAATTACATATATGCATATGTATGTGTGTACACATACATACATATATATATATACACACATATATATATCTATATCTATGTTGATGTATATGTATAAAGTGGCATAGCTTCCAAAGTCTTAAAGGAAAAGTTAAATGAGTTACAGAAGGAAACAGACAGCAAAACTATACTAATGGGGGACTGCAACTTTCCCCTCTCAGAACTAGATAAATCTAAACATAAAATAATTAAGAAAGAAGTTAAGGAGATGAATAGAATTTTATAAAGTTATATATGATGGACCTCTGGAGAAGATTGAGCAGGAATACAACTATATTCTTTTCTCAGGTGTACATGACACTTTCGCAAAAACTGACCATGGAATAAAAACCTTATAAACAAATGCAGAAAAACATAAATACTAAATGCACTCTTTTCAGGCCATAATGAAAAAAACCCATCACATTCAATAAAGGGCCTTCAAGGCATAGATTAAAAATTAGTTGGGAACTAAATAATCTAATCCTAAAGAATGAGCAGATCAAAGAATAGATCCCCAGAAACAATCATTAATTTCAATAAAGACAATAACAACAACATACCAAAATTTGTGGGACACAGTCAAAGCAGTACTCAGGGGAAAATTTATATCTTTAAACATTTAATAAAAAAAAGAAACAGGAGGTCAGTGAATTAGGCATGCAATTAAAAAAAACTAAAAAAGAACAAATTAAAAATAGAAATCATGAAAATCAAAAGATGAGATTAATAAAACTGAAAGTAATCAACTACTGAACTTGTAAAACTAGGCGCTGATTTCATGAAAAAAAAACATGAAAAGATAAAACATTGGTTAATTTGATTCTAAAAAAAGCTGAAAACCAAATTACTAGTATCAAAGATGAAAAGGATGAATATCAATGAAGAGGAAATTAAAGCAATCATTAGGAGCTATTTTGCTCAATTACATGCCAATAAATCTGAAAATTTAAGTGAAATGGAAGAATATTTACATAAATATAAATTGCCCAGATAAACAGAAGAAGAAATAGAAATACTTAAATAATCCTCTCTTAGAAAAAGAAATTGAGGAGGCAGCTAGGTGGCACAGTGGATAGAGCAGTGGCCCTGAAGTCAGGAGTACCTGAGTTCAAATCCGGTCTCAGACCAAACACTTGATACTTACTAGCTGTGTGACCCTGGGCAAATCACTTAACCCCAAATGCCTCAAAAAAAAAAAAAACAACTGAACAAGCCATCAATGAGATCCCTAAGAAAAAATCCCCAGGACCAAATGGATTTACAAGTGAATTCTACTATGTATTTAAAGAATAATTAATTCCAAACTATATAAACTATTTGGAAAAACAGATGAAGAAGGAGTCCTAGAAAATTTATTTCATAACATGAAAATAATTTTGATACCTAAACCAAGAAGGGAAAAAACAGAGAAAGAAAATTACAGACCAATTTCCTTAATGAATATCAGCGCAAACATTTTAAATAAAACACTAGCAAGGGGATTATAACAATATATCACAAAGATCATACACTATGACCAGGTGGGCTTTATACCAGGAATGAAGGGCTGGTTCAATATTAGGAAAACCATAAGCATAATTGACCACATTAATAACAAGACCAACAAAAATCATATGATTACCTTAACAGGTGCAGAAAAAGCTTCTGACAAAATGCAATACTCATTCTTATTAAAAACACCAGGAGGTGTTTTTATCAAAAGGGCAAAGTACCAATTACTTATTTAGAACTGCTCAATTAAGTGGAGGCCTCTATCTAGACTACCAGTTATGACACGATATTTATAAATGATCAACTATGTAAAACAGGTTTAAGTGTCTTCCATGTTAATGTCTTAGAGACTCAGAAACTACCAGCCATCAGAACTAGGCTTTTAGGCCGATAATGTTGCATGGTAAATTTTTCATTGCTTCAGATGTGGTGTTAAGAGCTTTTTACTTCGTGCCAAGAATGTTTTCTTACAGGATGTTCTATTTCTACTGAAGTTTTCACTAACAAGGAGATTCTACTTTTGAGTAAACTAAATCAAAAGCAGGAGATCTGTTTTCTTTTCTTTTCTTTTTTTGTGAGGCAATTGGGGTCAAGTGACTTGCCTAGGGTCACAAAGCTAGTGTCAAGTGTCTGAGGCTGGATTTGAACTCAGGTCCTCCTGACTCCAAGGCCGGTGCTCCATCCACTGGGCCATCTTGTGGCCCTGGGAGATCTGTTTTCTACTAATTTTTCACTAATGGCAAGCTTCTTTCTTTATGTAAAATAAATTTTCTCTGAAGTGAAGAAAAAAAATCCAACCCAACACCAAGAAGCATAGGGATAATTGGAGCTTTCCTGAAAATAACAAGTAGTATCTACGTAAAACCAAAAACAAGCATTATCTATAAATCAAAAGCCTTCCCAATAAGATCAGGAGTAAAGCAAGATTGTCCATTATCACCACAATTATTCAATATAATGTACTAGAAATGTAGCTATAGAAATAAGAGAAGAAAAAGACATTGAAAGAATTAGAATAAGCAATAAGGAATCAAAACTATCAACGCTTTGCAGACAGCATAATGGTATACTTAAGAGAATCCTAGAGATCAACCAAAAAACTAGTTGAAATAATTAACAATTTTAGTAAAGTTGGGAAAATAAAATAAACTCACATAAATGATCAGCATTTCTATGTATTACCAACAAAGTCCAACAGGAATAGACAGAAAGAGAAATTCCATTTAAAATAACTGCAGACAAGCTCTTTTTCTGGTGGCAAAGAAACAGAAATTGAGGGAATGCCCATCAACTGGGGAATGGCTGAACGAATCGTGGTATATGATGTAATGGAATACTATTGTGCTGTAAGAAATGATGAGCAGGCAGATTTCAAAAAAACCTGGAAATACTTACATGAACTGATGCTGAGTGAAGTGAGCAGAACTAGAAGAACACTATACATAGTAAAAGCAACACTATTCGATGATCAGCTATGATAGACTTAGTTCTTCTCAACAATACAATGATCCAAGAAAATTCCAAAAGACTCGTGATGGTAAATGCTAATCATATCCACAGAAAGAACCAGGGAGTCTGGATTCAGATGAAAGCATACTTTTTTCATTTTTTTTTGTATGGTTTTCCCCTTTTGTTCTGTTTCTTCTTTCACAACATGACTAATGTGGAAATATATTTAACATGATCACGTATGTATAACGTATATCAAACTGCTTGCTATCTTGGGGATGGGGGGAAAGTAGGGAAAGGGAGGGGAAAAAATTTGGAACTAAAAATCTTATAAAAAATGAATGTTTAAAACTATCTTTACATGTAATTGGAAAAAAAATACTATTTAAAAAATAGCTGCAGACAAAATAAAATACTTAGGAGTCTACCTGCCATGACAAACCCAGTAACTACATGAACATGATTACAAAACACTTCTCATACAAATAAAGACAGATCTAAATAACTGGAGAAATATTAATTGCTCATGGGTAGGCTAAGACAATATAATAAAAAGGCCAATTCTACCTAAGTTAAATTTACTTATTCAATTCCATACCAATCAAACCAAAGACTTATTTTATAAAGCTAGAGAAAATAATAAAATTCATTTATAAGAAAGGTCAAGAATATTCAGGGAATCAATGAAAAAAAAATGAAGGAAGACAGCCCAGATTTCAAACCACATTACAAAATGGTAATCATCAAAACAATCTGCTGTTGGCTAAGAAACAGAGTGGTAGATCAATACAACAGATTAGGTATATAATACACAGTAGAAATAACCACAGTAATCTAGTGTTTGATAACTAAAAGATTCAAGTTTTTTTGTCAAGAACTCACTATTTGACAAAAATTGCAGGAAAAACTGGAAAACAATTTAGCAGAAACTAAGTAAAGACCAACATCTCACACTGTATATCAAAATAAGGTCAAAATGGATATATCATTTAGCCATAAAGGGTGATATCATAAGCAGATCAGAGGAGCTTGAAAAATTTTACCTATCAGATCTATAGATAAGGAAAGAATTATGACCAAACAAGAGAGAAAGATTATAGGAAATAAAATGGACAATTTTGATTAAATTTAAAAGATTCTGAACCAACAAAACCAATGTAGCCAAGACTGGAAGGAAAACAAAAAACTGGGAAAAAATTTTACAGCAAGTTTTTCTGATAAAGGTCTCATTTCTCAAATATAAAGGAAACAGAGCCAAATTTCTAAAAATAAGAATCATTACCCAATTGATAAATGGTCAAAGGATATGAACAGGCAGTTTTTGGAAGAAGAAATCAAAGCTCTATAAAGTCAGATTAAAAAAATGCTCTAAATCACTATTGATTAGAGAATGCAAATTAAAACTACTTTTCAGGTACCACCTCATACCTATCAGATTGGCTAACATGGCAGAAAAGGAAAATGACAAATGCAGAAGGGGATGCAGAAAAATAGGAACACTAATGCACTGTTGGTGGAATTGTGAACTGGTCCAATTATTCTGGAGAACAATTTAGAATTACACCTAAAGGCCTTTCTGTAAAACTGTGGATATCCTTTGACCCAAGAATACAACTACAGGTTTGTATCCCAAAGAGATCTAAGGAAAAGGACCCATTTATAGCAACTGTTTCTGTAGTGGCAAAGAATTGGAAATTTAGGGGATGCCCATCAATTGGGGAATGGCTGAACAAGTTGTGGTATGTGATTGTGATGGAATACTATTGTGTTATAAGAAATGATGAGTAGGATAGTTTCAGAAAAACCTGGGAAGACTTATGTGAATTGATGCAAAATGAAATGAGCAGAACCAGGAGAATACTGTACATAGTAATATCTAAATTGTAAGGATGATCAACTATGAAAAGACTTAGCTACCCTGATCAAGACAATGATCCAAGACAGTTTCAAAGGATTCAAGATAAAAAATGCTATTCACCACTAGAGCAAAAACTGATGAAGTCTGAGTGCAAATTGAAGTATAATTTTTCACTTTATTTTTCTTGCCTTTTTTTGCAACATGACAAAGATGGAAATATGTTTTACATGTTTTCACACGTATAACTAGTATCATAGTGCTTGCCTTCTCAATGGGTGGCGGGAGAAAGAGAATTCAGAGCTCAACAAAAAAAAAAGGCAAGGGTACACGAAAAATAAATAATAATTTTGATAATGGGGGAAAAACAAATAAGGTAATTCACATTTAGGTTCTGGCCTACATTTCCAGGCTTACAACCCATTACTCTCCTTTCACACATCCTATGGTCCAGTCAAACTGGCCTATTTGCTGTTCATCTGAAACAACATGCCATCTCCCATTTTAGTGCCTTTGCAAAGACTATCCACCATGCTTGGAAATGCACTCTATCTCTATTTCCACTCTGTAGAATTCCTTGTTTCCTTTGAGGCTCAAGTAATGTACCTACCTCCTACCTGTTCCTCCCTGTGACTAGTGCCCTTCCACCCAGAGATTATTTCAGATAAACTGTGTTCTTGTATTCTCTCAATAAAATGCAAGCTCTTTGAAAGCACAGACTGCTTCATTTTTGTTGCAATATTCCCATTACCAGGCATAGCAGAAGCATAATAAAAGTTTGTTTAATGGTTTCTAGAGCTGAAATGGAGATTGGATTCTGGTGCTCCTAAAGGCAAAGGAAAAGCTATATAGAAACAACTGGGGAAGTGAGGTGAAGGGAGAGTGCAAAGTGTGAAAAACCTGACTGGATTTGCACTGAGGAATGAGACTTCCCTCGTAACTTGCTGTGACTTTTCTCAGTTTTTAAAGGATTAATAAAAATAAATAAAATTAAAAATAAAAAAAATAAAAAACTAACCAATCTGCTAATTTCCTCCTGTCTGTCGGGAGCAGATCTTGCGGTTGCCTTGATCATGGTGGATGTCTGATTGTCAGTCAGCTTCTTAATGCACCGTTGTCCTGCCACAATATTACAGACCTACAAATGAGAATAAAGATTATGTTCTAGATGTCACTTGAGTTCTTCTTAAAAAAAAAAAAAGAAAGAAAAGAAAAACATTCCTTACATAATTTAGTGTGATGAATCTATTTCCATAAACCTCTACTGAAATATCTAGGTGGTGCAATGGATAGAGCACTAGGTCTGGAGTCAGGAAGACTTGAGTTCAAATCTGTCCTCAGACACTTATTAGCTGGATGACCCTGAGCAAGTCACTTAACCGCTGTTTGTCTCAGTTTCCCCATCTGTGAAATGGGGATAACAATAGCCTCTACCTCCCAGGATTGATGTGAGGATCAAGTAAGATAATACTTGTTAAATGCTTACTTAGCACAGTGCCTGGCACTTAAAGAATGCTTATTCCTTCCTTCTCAAAGTTTACTTTAATGAACTCTTGAGAGTACCAGGGATTTTTTTTTATATTTTTAAAGGGATAGTTTGTAGAATTTAATTTATAATTTTGCTTATTTATTAGAAGGAAGAGTAAGGAAAACTAAAAAATTTGAACACCTTAGGGATACTTGATGGATCATAGCCTATCTACATGTTCTAACAGTTCCCAAGGTGCAGCTACAGTGCCAGCCCTGGAGTCATGGAGACTCATCTTCCCAAGTTCAAGTCTGGCCTTAGACATTTACTAGCTGTGTGACCAGAAGCAAGTCACTTAACTTTGTTTGCCTCAGTTTTCTCATCTGTCAAATGAGCTGGAGAATGAAATGGCAAACCACTCCAGTATCTTTGCCAAGAAAACCCCAATGGGGTCATAAAGAGTAGGACGTGACTTAAAAATGACTGAACAGCAACAACAAAAAAAACCCCAAACAGTTCCCAAAGTTATAAATAAAAATCCATGACAAGCAGCATTAATTACTTCCAGAGGCAGGTAAGTATGCTTCTGCTCCTGTCCTACTTGAAGACAGGGAAGGTGAGGATACTTCAGCTGGAGGTTGTACTTCTCTCTGAAATATTGTGCTACTGTCCTTTCTACAGTCTGGCCATTTTCTAACTGTAAAGGAAAGCTGGAAAACAGAGGAAGACTTTTAGAAATATCATGGAAAGTAAGATCATCAATCATCATCCTATTAGGAATGAGCAAAGCTCCCAGTCCACTTAATGCTATAACATTTCCTACACATTGTCTGTCCACTTACAAATACCAGCTTCTCTTACGTTTGATGACTGGCAGGTCTCCTTGTTACATTACAAACACGATATTTCCGCCTCATTGTTCCACAATGAGTCACTTCAACCTTCAGACCTGTACCCAACAACAAAAACTGGGATTACAAACTGCATATAAAATACATTTGCAATTGAACATGTAAAACAACAGAAGAACCTGTCTACTACAAGAGCTAAAGAGTCACTTCTGAACAGATAAACAAAAATGTTGAGAGGACTAATTGGCAGTGAAATATTATTAATCAACAAGTTCCTAATTCTCATGATACCCACTGCAGTCCCCTCCAAATGCTCTATACTTAAACAATGAAAGTACTATAAATGCAGTAAACCCCTACAACTATGGGACAAAGGTTACTATAAACAAACAAACACCTAATGGTCATAAAATCCAGGTGTTTGGAAGGGAAACTATGAGGGTGTAAATAATATTAAGATGATTGTGTTCTTCCTTTTGAAAATACAGAATTGAGGGGAAGGTGGGTGGTACAGTGGATAGAGCACCAGCCCTGGAGTTAGTAGGAGGACCTGAATTCAAATCTAGCCTCAGACACATGATACTCACTAGCCATGTGACCCTAGGCAAGTCACTTAACCCTGACTGCCTCACAAAAAAAAAAAAAGAAAATATAGAATGTTTGATAAGCCTGATTTACTAATGTACTGACTAGAGACCAGAACACCATAAACCAGTGAAAGGAAGTTCTTGACAAGTTTTTTGAGTAAGAGGTGACTTGAACAGGACCTCTGTATACAAGTGGAGCTATTCTGTAAAGAGCCATTTTATTCCTGGCTACTAGGAACAAGAGACAACCTAAATGCTTCCTAGACTTCCTAAAAGATTTTGCTTCAATATTTTTTTTTTGTGATATACTTCTTAAAGACATGTTAGAAAATTATTAACTGAGTCAATAAGGAAACAGAAAATTTTACTGGTAAGTCCCTGAGGTGACTCTTACAAAAATTTAGATCAATCAAAACTCAGACTATTTTTCTGTAGAATAGCAAAGGCTAAGAAAATAAAATATGGTGAGAAACATTACAAAAACATATACTGAAGGTGTATATATTGTATAGTAAAGTATTAAGTGAGGAAAATATTTCAAATGATAAACTGCAAAAAGAAATTAGTCGTCTGAATCATTTGAATAAATTGTGAGTGATTTCCTGTCTTAATTGGACAGTCATTTTAATTAATAAAAAGCTCCACAAACATCCTAAATAAGTTTCAAACTCTTGCTGCAACTACCATTTTTATTACATTATAAAAATAAACTTCCTTCAAGATTTCTGCTGTCCAATTATTAAAGATGGCTAAATTAATCAATATTCCCTAAACTATTATTAAATATTAAAAGAAATACAAGAAAAAATTCAACTGGAAGCAAATTAATACCATGGAAAATGAGAGTTTGTGCTTCAATTTCATGCATGGCAAACTTTGCACCAACATGCCTGTCATCAGGGTTCTTTCTGGGAATAGATGGAAAATGAAGTGTATTTTCCATTTAAAGCATGGAAGACTTTGAAATTCTGAGTTTCCTTGACTTTCTAATGTTGGTATATAAACACAACAAGTTTTTATTATCTTTTAAAAACCGTCTTCCTGACATCAGAAAGAGGAGAAAAAACTCAATCTGTCAATGAGAAGTACTTAAATGTTATGATTTGCGAAACATACTATTAGCCAGTCACCAACCCCCACTTTCCCAAACATAAGACAACAGAAGCTAAATATTCAGAGCATTATCTAAAGACTATAAAAAAGCTGAGTTTTTAAAATGTGGCTAAATATTTTGGTGCCCAGTACCCTCCCCACCACCTCCACCCAACCAAAAGTTTGGTTGGCTTTAATCAAATATTTAACCTATAAACTTGGCTTTACCTTCACTATAACATCAACTTTATAATGATTTCTAGTGATTTTTCAGTCATTTCTTTGGGCCCCTGAGCAGTTGAAGTTAAGCTCGATTCCATGCTCTTCGGGCAGCAGCTGAATCCTTGTTCTGTACATCTTGTATTTTCTGTGATAGAGTGGTGATATGAGTTGATTGCATAGTTACCGCAAAGTAATGTATGTGATTTTATGAGATTGAGGTGGTAACTAAGCAGCAACTCCATTGGAAACTATGGCATTTAGATGGTAACGTATTAATGGTTTTGTTCTATCTCCTGGAAAATGCAAACTGTGCTGTTAATGCTAATCACATAAAGAAAATAGCATAGTAGCAAGATGAAATGAAGGTTTATTATAGCACTTGAGCTGCATTAAAAAACTAAGATAAAACTAAGATGCTTATTTTCAAAGCAGGAGAAATTTCCCTTCTAATCCTTCCTCTCCTGGTTACAGGCACAGTATGAATGGCTATTGGTGAAAGAGATATCACTTTTCAGTACTATTTGACATTCTAAAGCATTTATAGTGGCCTGCTTGAATGGTCTACTCTAGCCCACTGAACCAAAACTCACATTCACCAAGAACAGTTTTTAGAAACAAGATGTATCTGTTCTTGGGCACGGACATTTTGTAAATTTATTATCAGTTACATTAAGTGGAACCTGTGCCACTCAGGTAATAAGAAAATCAATTTGTTCAGCATCACTATTCCAAGTAGCTGTACACAGGGTTTTGCCACTGGGCTAAAATTGTTAAGATTTCTATGAATCAATGCCTAACTGCATGACCAACTCTAGTTACCCTTAGCCTGCACTATTCCAGGACAATATATGTTAAATTACAGGGTTGATAAGCTCCACATTCCAAATGTTTTTAAATGAACAGAAAGTAGAGAGGACTTCACTGAAGTAATGTTTGACAATCTACATTGTATCATTTCACAGAAACTTAAGAAAAGTCACTGTACTGGAACAGTGTCAAAGATTAAGTACTCCAGCTTTGAAAATTAAACACCTGGGAGATGAGCTTCCTGCTTTTAAGGGCATGGCAAAAGCTGGATCCCATCACCACCCCAACTTCTCCATCTGGGGTAGGTCTGGTATCCAGTCAAAACACTAGCTGGCACAAACTTTATTCTGCATAATAATGGCTAACACTATTTTTAAAAAGCACAGATTTTCATTATTTGCTAGTTCATTTTTTGTAGATGAAGCAAAATAAAGCCCTGCCCAATTAAGATGCTGTAGATATGAACGCACATGACAGTTTGGGGAATATTCTTACTGGTGATGTGTGATACATGAAAAACTACTTGGACTATGAAACAAAATTTCAAAGAAAGCTGCAATCATCACTCCATTTTTGGTCATTATATAAAAGTTATGTCAGACATCCTTGTCTACTCACCCTTTATCTCTTTGGTGAATTTTACCCGATGAGAATCAGTCAGAGGTCTTGGTTGTTCATCAATATTATGAATGTCAAGAACTTCACACATGAACTGAATTACAGGTTGTGCTTTGTAGAAGGCAGTGGCAGAAACTATAAGGAGAAAAAATTTTAAAGAATCAAGGAAATGTTCTATCATCTTTACCTTTGTAGAGTTCAAATGCTACTTAAAAGAACTACCAAGATCTAGAGTTCATCAATAGCACATCTGACAAAAGTTACTAACGTATCAATTTTAGGTTTGTTTTTAAAACTCTATTCATGAAGCATGATCCTAACCTAATTAATGGTAGATAACCACCTAAACCACTAAAGAATCAATCTTCTTTATACAATTCTTTTCTTTAGTAAAGTTAATATCATACAGCATTACTTAGTCCAATTTCATTGTACAAATAAGGAAACTGAAACTGAAAAAGGTTGTGACTTGTGTATGGTCACATGGGAAGCAAGTGGTAAAAGTAGAATTTAAACAGGTTATCTGGCTCTTTACCTGGTGCTCATTCCATGATAGTACACTAATTTTAAAAGTGATTGAAGCAAAATGATATTAGTGGCACTGAATGAGTTACTAATATTACTGATAATAAAATCTAAAAGTAGATTTTCTAACAAATCTGTGACAAGATTTTTTTGGTTGTCACTTTCTTTTTCCTCCTCAGAGAAAATAAAAAAAAATCTACCCAACTGAAAAGGCTATTTATTATTATTATTATTGTTGTTATTATACCTGCCTTTTGTCATCATGAAGCCCAAAGGCTCATATAAATGAGGAAAATATGTAAAAAGTTCAGAGAAGAGGCAAGAAATATAGCAAATTTTAATTTTCCTGTCAACATAACAAAGATCTAATTAGATCTAATGCAATTCTCCTAGTCCTGTAAGTCATGTTATGCTTTTTTTATTCAAAGTTTCTCCTTCTGGTTTGTCTCTAGGCTAGGTCATTGTTCCTCCATAGTAGGGCAGTAAATCAAATTTTTTATTTCATACAAAACTTGTAGAGGTCAAGGAAGAATTAAAATTAAAGTCAATGACTAAAATGAAGTTTTCAAGAAACGAAATTCACATCTTTTAAGTGCTCTACCTTCCTTAACTTATTGGCTGGGAAAGTCAATTGGTTACACCCTGCTAAATTCTAAGCACTATGGAGTTAAGGAGGAGGTCTCCTTCCTCTCACCTAGCAGTACCTTGTCAATAACAGACATTTATTTAATAGTTATCAAAGAGATGCTTTCCTTGCTATGTCAATAATCTATATTAGGAAAAGTAAGTAAAGCCATATAAGATACATGCAATAAATAAAGGATTCAAAGGGTTTTTTTTAGCATTGTCCTTTCCAATGCTACTGATTTATTTTAGTTAGAAGTTAAGAGAAATTTCATGTTTGTGCGAGAGAGACAGAGAGACAGACTTGCTTTTGTACTTTCAAGCTATTCCTCACTTTTTGCTGCAATGTATTTCTGAAAACCATAGCATGAAGAAGGTAATAATAATGTTGATGAGCCCTTCCCATAAGAATTATACTATAATTTGGGTTTCATTCCTGATCAAAGAGTAAGACTCAAATAAAGCTATGTCACAAAAGCAAAGATACAACTAAAAAAACTTCATATTTATTAAATGCTTTATATACATTATCTCATTTGATCCTCACTACCACTTTGAGAGGTAGGTTGCATAAGTATGATTGCCCCATTTATAAGATAAGGAAAAAAAAGGCTTAAAAGAGGGGAAGTAACTAAGTAACTATGTTCTTGTTCTAGTAAGTGACAGAATCATGACACAGGTTTTTTGACTCACAGACCAGCGCTCCTTCTGCTGTAACCCTTTTTGGAGGGATCCATGCTGCCTCATGCTATACCATGTTGGATTTACTGGAGCAGCATTCTCTGAAGTTTCTATCACTATGGTCAGCAATCAACCAACAAGAATTAATTAAATGCCCAAGAAATTGTGCTAGGAATTGTAAAAGGTAGTCATTTTTTATGTCTGTGATTATGAGGAGGTTATTTAAGTTTGAGAAACTTCAGTTTTCAACTTTGTAAATCAGGGATATGATCTATTACAACTTGTTGGACATGGTTGTCATAAGAATAAAGTGAGACCAAAAATGTATAGTGTGTGATCTGTAGCTATAAAGCAGCACATGACTTATCACATTTAGCAACAAGGGCTTATTCCAGCTAAGCATTTTGAGAAAAGGTATATTCTTTCACCCCAAATCTTTAGAAATTAAAAGGCAACTTCTATTTTGCCAAACAGTATTTTGATACCAGGCATCTGGAAGAACAGAAACAGTCGATTGAAGGCAATAAAACTTCTCTCACTTGGGTTAATATATGAAGTCTGTATGAAACTTTAGAATGAAGATTTCACGCTACTATAACCAATATTGAGCAATATTTTATATAAAAAACACTAAAATTATTTTAGCTTTTCTAGACAGCCCAGTATGAGAAGTAACTTGTGAATAACTATTTATAAAACTATTTCAAGTGAAACAAAGAGATTTGTATTAAAGCCTGGCCATGTAGATTTTGTGTCTATGAACAGTTCTCTTTCTCCCAGTTCTGTCCCTAGCTAAGATTAGTAGGGCAGCTAGATGGTACCATAGATAGAGTGCCAGTTCTAGAATCAGGAAGACCTTAGTTCAAATCCTGCCTCAGACACCTATTAGCTAGATGACCCTAGGCAACTCACTTAATCTGTTTACCTCAGTTTCCTTATCTGTAAAATGGAGATAATACTTGCCCCTACCTCCCAGGGTTGTTGTGAGGATCAAATGAGACAATAATTGTAAAGCACTTAGCACAGTGCTTGGCACATAGTAAATAATGTATAAATTTTAGCTTTAAGTGTTATTTTATAGGGAAAGTGACACAGTAAATAGAAAGTGGATCTTGTACCCAGTATACATAAAGAGCTGAAAGCCAGAGGAAAAAACCAAACCAAACAAAGCCAATGTTACTATCTTTTTTTTTCCATTTGAATGAACTATATACTAGGATCAATCTTCTCGTAAAAATTCTTTAGGTACAAAATCACAGTCATCTCCAAATCACTCCAATATCCACAATTAGTCACCAAATTTTATCAATTCTTCCTTAGAAATTGCTTCTACCCTTCCCTTCCCCCCACCCCATTTCAAATCCTAGGCTTGGCCTTCATCATATGTCACAGCCTAACTATTCATCTAGCTCCAATACAGCATGGACATGTTGCCAGAATAACCTTCCTAAGACTTAGACCACTTTCATCATATCATCTGTGCAAGTTCTTCCTAACATCTAAAATACACTGCAATTTTGCCTGCTGAAATCTTCCTTTTTCTTTAAGGCTAAGCTCAAATGCCAATTCCTCCACAAATTCTTCTGATTCCTTCAAGATGAATACAATGGCCCTCTTGCTCCTATCATATTCTACAAGTATTTTCCTTGTTGGGGGTAGGGGAAGGGGTGCATGTACATGTGCACATATTTTCTATATCTATATCTATAAATATATATACATCATCCTATATAAACACACACACACACACATACATACGTGCATATATGTGTATGACCCATTCAATCAGACTGTAAAGTTCTTGGAAAGATTTGGGTCAGTTTTTTCCCCCACACTATGCATAGCATGCCCTTTTATAAATGTTTGTTGAATCAAATCATTCCACTGTTCAAAAACCTTCAATGATTTCCTATTGCCTAGAAAATTAACATTGAAATTTCTTAGCCTTGACTAACAGCATTAATTCTGTCAAATCCCTTTAAAATTTGATCCCAAATTACCTTACCAACCAAGCCACTATCCCGTACCAAAATGGTCTACTAACTTCCAAACACGTTGTACATCCTGAATTTACGATTTAAAACTACTTTATTTTTTTTACTCCAATAATATTTATTTGGAGAATGATGCTATAAATCCCAAATCTATCTACCTACCCCAAATTTATCTCCAAACCTCATTTATCTAGATGAGAATAAAAAACATGCCCCCTAAGTAACCAAAATGGATTCTATCCAATTAATATTTGTCAAATGCCTATACATATGCAAAACACTGGCTTTCGCAATGGGAACAGGAAGATTAAAACAAACATAGGCCCTTTCCCTTTAGGAACTAACAACCTAAAAGGAATTGAAAAGACACACACATAAATAAGTATAGTACAAACTGGAAGGTAATAAGAACAAAAAAAAAAGTTCCAAGCAAAGAATCAGAAGAATTTAAGAAACAAGAAATCATTTTCAGCAGAAACGAGAAAGGGTTTCATAAGCTTGGAAGAGAAGGAATATGCTTCAGGTATAGAGGGTGCTTAAAGACTGAAATACAGCCTCAGTTAAAACAGTATTTGCAAGAGACTATCATGAATTAAAGCACCAATTCAGCATATGTATGACCTGGAAAGGCTGCAATAAGTTTAGTTCACGTCTAAAGTATTTTCATCCAAAACAGACTAAAGTTAAAAAACAAAACCCAAACTATTTTGGACCTAAAGGGTGAAACCACAGGCTATCTAGAACAATCCATTTGCTACTAATTGTTGTTGTTTGTCCTTCATTCTCAAAGAGGACCATGATATCAGGAAGGCGATGCCATGATGTGCAAGGGAATTGGATTTAAGAGAGGAAAGGCTATGCAAGGTCACCAGCCTCACTTCCTCCTCTGGGCCCGGTGGCAAGAAACAGATCAGGATGACTGGAGATGGTCCCTTTTGCTACTAATAGCAAACAACCATAAGTTTTACTTTAATAGTAATTACTAAGTAAATCAAAAGGTCTCATACAAGAAGTTACTGAAGTGTTTTACATATAATCAAAATAAATTAATAAAAAAAGTGATAGATAAGTAGATTGAACAAACAAGTAATCACCACTCTAAATAAAAACACCACCACACGCCCTAGATTTTCCATGAAAGATGGGGACTGAGCCAGTCAGAGTTCAAAAGAAGGAAACAGGGTACTTAATGTCTAACATTGCACACACATTCTCAGCACTAGGCATAAGAAGAGAACAAACACAAATTAATTTATTACACATTCAAAGGCTAGGGTTTGCCAGTTTACAAAACATTAACTGCCTTGTGTT